AGGGACAAAGGGATGATATCATTTTTTGATATGTTTTTTAAAACATGAAAAGCATATCTGACCACAAAAGACGGGGGCGGGGGGAATAATGTGAGTCTTTTTTCTCCTTTCAGTGTAAGCCGGGTGGTATATGTTTGCTTTCTATGGACAGTGCTGATTCACCAAGGATTTAAGGGTCACTAATGAGTATTTTCACTTCCCATTAACAAGTGGAATATATTTAAAAACTACTCAGCCACTCTGTGTGGCTTTTCATTGAAACCTACCTCTCTGGGTGGATGAGTAGAATTTGTTTCTCATTGCGTACCAGGGGGCTGCTTGACCTTTTCAGCTTCACAGGGCCTGAAATGTGGTCAACGCATTTCTGCTTTTCGCATTGAACAACTCATGCGATCTGTTTAAACGGGATAACCAGATTGCCTGACGTTTCTTAGAATCCAGGATTCCTTGCCTTAGAATTCTCCTCTCTCCCTCCCCGCCTCTTCAGTCCCTCTGCCCCACCTTCTGAGCACCTTTTAAATAGAGAAGACACAGCAGGAGACGATATATTTATTAACCCAGCTTCTACTCTCTATTTCAAGATATGCAGTAAAACATGGACTGGAGGGAATTATTGCCCAATGTGACAGGCAAAGACTTACTGCCTTCTCATATTCCAACACTGATAAAAAAAATCAATAAAAACCTAACACAGGTAAGTAAAAGGACAAAGGACATAACTAGGCAATGCATTCAGAAATCACATCTACTGAAATGAGGAGTTTAGCAAATATTTTTAATAATAGTGCTTGATGTCATAAAGCAAGAGTTAATTGGGCTAACCCTGCTATTTAAGTAGCAACATCCATAGCTTACCAATTCTACTTCTGGAGTTCCATGTTAAGGGAATAATCCATCAGAAAAGCTATCTGCCATAAGATGTTTATATATCGTATAATATGTCACATACGGTAGCAAAAAGTGGAATGATCCTAAATGTTCAACATCCATAGAAACATTCAGTGAATTGTAGTACATCCATTTGCCTGAATATAATGCGTCCATTAGAAATGATTACACTATAGCAACCGAAGAAAGAAAACAATGTATATACTAAATAATAATTATTTAAAAAATATACACAGGGGGAAAAAACCTGGGAAGACACCCATTAAAATGCTAAGAGTGATCACATGCAGGATTTTTTTTTCTTTTTCTTGAGTTCCAAAAAATTTTAAAGGGTAATATTCAAACTTGTATAAAATGCATAATTAACAAGGAAAATAAAATCCTACCCATGTCATATCAGGAGCAGTTCTCCCCAAGCTTGAGCTCAAAGAGCAAGAAAAGCATGGGTTGTCTGTCATGAGTCCTGGAGACTGGGCCCACCTCTAATCACTGAGTAATTTTGGTCAAGCCCCTTATCATTCCAGTTTTGTTTTCAGAAACTAAGAGAGATGCACTGAATTATCTCTAAAGCTCCTTCTGGCCCCAAAGATCTATGAATCTTGACGCTCTAGAAGGAAGAGTATGTGCCTGAATTCACTGAAATCACAAACAGGCCCTGAGACACCTCTTCCCATAAATCAGGTGTAAAATGTCAGGCAGAGAAGGGATAGAATCAGAAAACAATGTGTATTTGTCTCATCAGACGTTTCTCAGAAAAGATTAAACAGTGTCTTTCTCACTGAATTCATCACATCCTCTGGTTCTCATTTTTAAAACCAGTCTATATGGAAGAGCAAGCTTTATCAATTATTCGGCACACGTCAATCTATTGTTATTCAGCCACAGGGAGGATGTCTTTTATGTAGGATTTGGGTTTCCATATGCCAATACAAAACCCATGTCTCTAATTTATAGGGCCCCTTGCCTCTTTTTTATGGTCATTCACAACACAGCAGACTCAGAGCTTCTACAGAATCAGTGTCTCAAACTGAAGGTGACCCTGGATAACAGAATCTACCAATTCTTCAGGCCAGGGCAAGTAGGGGATTTCTCATGCTTCAGGGCCTGGAAATAGTCTCCATTATTTTTCCCCAATGATAGAGGTTTTAAACATTGGATTGGTCTTTTCTTAGGAGCCAAAGTGAGTCAGTCATCTCTTGGACTAAATAAAGGTTAATGGGCTCCCCTTGATCAAAGAAGTTGAGTGGTTGGTAAATGAAACTTGAAACACTTTTCATTTCCTGAGGGTTAGTGGGCGAGTCCTTATTTGTAAATCGGGAGGCTTGGGCTTTATGCTTTCAAAGCCACCTTCCCAATCCTTACGTTACAAGCTTATTACAGAGCCTGCATCCTAACCCAAGAGCTCCTAGTAGGCATGGAGGTAAGAGCTTTCGGGGTTCTGGCTCACAGGAAAAACCCACAATAGTTACTTACATCCATGAAAACAGAGAAACAAATGCCAAAATACTCTGGCAGCTGTGCAGACGTGCTAGCGTACAACCCTTCAAGGTGACAGTCTACATAGTCACCGAGCATGGGAAAACTCACCCTCACTTGCCCTGCCTGCCTTTTCCTCGTAGGAGAGTTCCTAAGGTCTGGGGGGTACTGGAGCTAGAAGAGATTGCAGAAAGGAAACTAAAATATCTGAAAGAAAAATATTTCCCTAGAGAATTTCCCTGACCAGTGAGGGGTCCGTTGATAATGAACACATTATGAGTCTCCAGAGAGCTTGGGGTTCCACCAGGTGGGGGATTAGCTTCCCAACATTATTAGACATGGAGGAAGGTTGCAGGTTCAGTCCTGGGCCCCTTCTCTTTGCCAACTGCACACCCTTCAGAGTCTCATCTAGACTTCCGACTTTAAACAATCATCAGGCTGCTGACAACTCCTAAATTGACCTCAGACTCATGCCTCACTGACAGCTCCACTTGGATGCCTCATAAGGCATCTCCCACTTAAATATCCAAAGAGGACTCTTGACTCCTGCTTTCCACTTCTAAATTTGGTGCTTCCCCCAAACCCTGGTGTCATCAATGGCATCTTCCTTCTCCTTCATCATTCTCCACCATTTTAGCTGAGGTTCCAGCCACCATCACCTCTTGTGGAGGGAACACCAATAATCTCCTAATTCCTCTCTCTCCTTCCATTTCTGGCCCCCTTGCAATCGAGTTTCTACACAGCGGCCAAAAGTTCTTTTCAAAACATGGTGTGAATTATGCCATTCACCCACTTAAAGTTCATACCTATTTTCCAGTTGTTCTTAGAATGAAATCTAGGCTCAGGCCATGGGGTCCTGGGCATGATTCGTGACAGTGCACCGCAGTCCCACTGGCTGAGTTAGCATGCCAAGTGCGACCACGCCTTAGAGTCTTTGCCCTTTCCCCCGTTCCCTCTTTCCCCCTGCTCTTTGTGTGGCCGACTCTCCTTCAAGTTTCAGTGTCCATGTGACTTCTGCAGAGAGGCGCTCTCTCGTCACCTATCCAAAGGATGCCCCACCTTCCTCTCTATCTGTGATAGTGCCCTGTTTGTTCTTTTTTTAGCACTTTCTAAAACTTGTAATTATTTCATCATTTCTTCGATTGCTGTTCTATACCTTGTCTAGACTAACATTAGAGGAGTAGAGATTCTCTTCTCTCCTACATATCTCACATCCGGCATATAACTGGTACTCGATAAATACCTGTTAATTAAGTTAATTAATTAAAGAAGGTCGTTGGTTACTCATACTTTATGGCTAGTTGTTAGGAAATCATTCTGATTTAACCTAACCTGGTTGAGGCATACTAAGTTACTCCCTCCACCTCTGTGCAAGCAGAGGTCCTGCTGCACTAAGGGAAAAAAGAATTTGCAGGCTCATTTCCTGAAACCAACCCTTAAAAAAGTAGAAAGATCTATTCCTTTTTAGGAGGGCACCTGAACAGTTTCCTTCTTTACACTTTTCCCCAAGGAAGTTTTGATTTCAAAGAATATTAATTCTAATTTATGTGAGCTATTCTCTATTTTATGGTCAATTGCCTTGTAGCTCAATAACACTTATGTTTACCATTAATATGTGTCAGACTGATGCTCTTTTAGGTTTTATTTAATTATAGTTCCAGATAATACAGTTTCCCCTTTTCTTAAATTAGAGGAAACAATACATCAACTGGATGGACTATTATGCAACCATATAAAATTATTATTATCATGTAAACATAGTAGCAAACAGCATTGTTTATGATTCATTTTAAGAGGCAGGAGCAGAATACATAATTGCTCTGTTTTGTAATTAAAACTATCGGAGTATGTATACAGATGAACAAGTGCTAATGGGAAACAGGAAAAAACACATTGGTTTTCTAGTGTGTTGGATTTACGTATGTTCTTTTTAAAATTATTATTATTTCTTGGTGCAATATTAATTGCACAATAGTCAGAGGGAACCTGGGCTATAAATCTGGTTGCGAGTAGGTATCTAAAATTATTGTACTGACTAGAAACACCTGGGGCTAGCCTCGTCACCTGTTTAAAGCCCAACCTTCTGTTTAATGTCTACGGCTTTAGTGCCTGCTTAAACCCTTCACTCAAATATAACTGTCAGGAAACGACAGCAAGATGACTCTTTACAATTATATTTCCTATTTCTGCTCCATGAGGATATCTGTGTGAAAGTGTGTTGGTTAGGGTGGGAGAAACAAGGGAGGACAATGTATTTAAAATAAATGCAACAAAGTAAGTTACAAGGAATGAGATGGATTTGTATGTCCATATGCAGCAATTCCCAAGATTTATTGCTAAGTTAATTTTCTTTAAAAAACAGAGACATGTGTGGGTTCCTGGGGTGGGGTTCAGTCAGTTGTGTCAGACTCTTGGTTTTGACTGAGGTTATGATCTCAGAGTTGTGAGATTGAGCCCCGCATTGGGCTCCAGCTGGAGATTCTCTCTCTCTTTCTCACTCGCTCTCTCGCTCTCCCTCTGCCCCTCCCCGTCCCCGCTCATGTCCTCAATCTCTCATAAATAAATAAATAAATAAATAAATAAATAAATAAATAAATAAATAAATCTTAAGGGGAAAAGAAAAGTAGACCCATGTCATGCTCACTTCAGCATCACATATGCTAAAATTGGAGCGATACAAAGAAGATTAGCAGGCTCCTGAGCAAGGATGACATGCAAATTTGTGAAACATTCCATTTTTTTAAAGATTTATTTATTTATTTATTTATTTATTTATTTATTTATTTATTTATTCATGAGAGACACGGAGAGAGAGAGAGAGAGGCAGAGACACAGGCAGAGGGAGAAGCAGGCTCCACGCAGGGAGCCCGATGTGGGACTCGATCCCAGGTCTCCAGGATCACACCTTGGGCTGAAGGCGGTGCTAAACCACTGAGCCACCTGAGCTTCCCACATTCCCTATTTTTATTTTTAAATAAACATTTGACTGTAAAGAAACAGTAGAAACATGTGCATTATACCATCATTTGATGAAAACAAAACAAAAAAGAAAGTCAGAAGAGGATATATATTTATACCTGTATATTTATACATATATCTGTATATAGGGAGATTTTCTTAAAGCATGTCTTTGCATAAGTACATATGCTACATATCTATAATATAGATGTGTATATTTTATACACACATGTGTGCACATGAGTTTTTAGGCAAAGATTTATCTGAAAGACAGACAGCACACTGGTAATAATGGCTGCCTCTGGGGAAGAGAATTGAGAGACTGATATGTGAGGGAGATTTACCTTTCACCGTATAATCTTTCATACTGTTTAAATACTTGCCTTGGGCTTATATTATCTTTTCAAACAGATGATTAAGTCTTTGTTAATAAAGATAGAGAGCCATTTGCCGACAAGCCAAAATAACTGCCTATGAAGCAAATTATATTAAATATACTTCATGGATGGATTTTTAAAAAATACATAAAGAATAAAAACCAAAATAAATACAACTAGCATTTTGAAATGCTGCCTAAATTGTGTGTGGAGTATTTTGTGTGACACAGGTATGTCAGACGAGAGGTCACTATCCATAGTTTGCTGGGGCCTCCATAACAAAATGCCACCGGCTAGGTGGCTTATGCAACAGAAATCTATTTTCCCCACAGTTCTAGAAGTCTGGAAGACCAAGGTGTTGGCAGGTTTGGTTTCCTCTGAGGCCTCTTTCCTTGGCCTCTTTGTCATGTCCCCACGCGGCCGTTTTTCGAGGTTGTTCATCCCTGGTGTCTTTTATGTGTCCTAATCTCCTCTTCTCATAAGGACACAGATTGGAGTAAAGCCCAGCCTAACAGCTTCATTTTAACTTCATTACCTCTTTTAAAGGCCCTCTTTCCAAATACAGTCCCATTTTAAAGGTTTAAGCATATGAGTTTTGAGGGACACAATTCAGTCCACAACGCTATCCTTGAGGAGTTTTCAGTTGAGTCAATGAGCTAAACCATACATGCTTGAGGAAAAGACAAGAAACAATAGGAAAGGCAGCACACAATTAAATGTCAAAGCTGATACAGAAGGGCATGGGTGAGACTTTCTAGAGATCCCCAAGCACAGTCTCCTATCTAAAAAAAGGTAAAGAGAATCAGGAATCTATGAGGAAGGAAGAAAACAACAGTGAGACTTGGCCATAGGTTACTGTGCCAGGCAGTGGGCAAGGGTCTGTCTGCACTCGATTTGGGAAAACTATTAGTTCCCTAAATTATAATGTAATATGCATGTTTCCATGCCATACCAAGGCAACTCATGAATTCAATCAATTCAGTGGAAAAATATAATCCCTAATGCTATTTGAAGTTGTCTAGGGAAGAGAACATTAGATTGTTGGATAGTTTTGTTGCCAGTTACTTTGTGACAAGAATGGGTGAATGGGACTCATACATAAAAAAAAATACAGGAACTCCTCCATCCAGGAGATGGCATTGTAAATCACCCTTCATAATCACCTCAGGCAGCAAATATTGAAGTGAGTGCCGCTACGAGGAGCCCAGGCCTTCTCAGGGCTTGTTGTGGATCAGAAAAGAAAACCACTATATCTGCTTGATGAAGGAAAGAAAGAAAGAAGAAAGAAAAAGAAAGAAAGAAAGAAAGAAAGAAAGAAAGAAAGAAAGAAAGAAAGAAAGAAAGAAAGAAAGAAAGAAACACGAGAAGGAGAAACTGGATAAGAAGAAGCAAGGAAGGAAGATGTGTCAGGGTGTTAAAATAACAGGTAAATTGGGCACTTAATCCAGCCAACTGAAGTTTCCAGTTGGTTAGGTGCTTTACCTCTTATTTTATTTTATTTTTTAAAAGATTTTATTTATTTATTCATGAGAGACAGAGAGAGGCAGAGAACCAGGCAGAGGGAGAAGCAGGCCTCATGCAGGGAGCCTGGATCACACTCTGGGCTGAAGGCGGCGCTAAACCGCCGAGCCACCCGGGCTGCCCAATTTACCTGTTATTTTAAAACCCTGACACATCTTCCTTCCTTGCTTCTTCTTATCCAATTTCTCCTTCTCGTCTTTCTTTCTTTCTTTCTTTCTTTCTTTCTTTCTTTCTTTCTTTCTCTCTCTCTCTCTCTTCTTTCTTCTTTCTTTCTTTCTTTCTTTCTTTCTTTCTTTCTTCTTTTTGTCTCATTCTCTGTACCTTTTCAATAGATAAAAGAGCACATGACCCAAAATTACACCAAAGTGACGTACCCCCTAACCTCCCTTTCCACACAATATGATGGTGAAAGTTGTATAAGACCTGCTATGTACAGGAGCTCCTAATAAAATTCTGTTCAACCCACTCAGGAACTGGAAGGGCTGGATTAAGCAATGCATATGAAAGCACTGTAGGAGCAGGGAAGGCTTTTTCAAAAGCTGGTATTATTACTGTGGAGAAGTAAGATGAAAAACTGAAACAAAAGTCGGACCATTGGAGTGGTCAAGTGGCCAAGTCTGCTGTAGCCATCAGGGATCTTGAGAGCACCAGAGCTAAGCAGATGTTTTTGCTCCCTCAAATGTGAGACAAGGAAGCATGCAAAGAAGGAAAGCTCCACTGGTAAATATATCAGGAGCAAATATACATATTGTGGAACAACTGGAATTTTGGTATCTTCTTGCATTTTTAAAATTGTTCATAAATCAGTATTAAGTTTCCTTCAAAATGCCTGTCTTGTGGGTATCTCAAAGGAATACACTGTAAAAATGGTATTTTTTTGGTGCTCTGAATTCCAGGAAAAGGAAGAGACCCAATACACTCAAGTGCCAATCAGCTCCTCTGTATGATTAGTCACTTGGAGGAGATTACGTAGTAGCTCAAAGATCGTTTAAAAGCAAAACAAACGATGAAGCTGGTGGGCTGCAAATTGACCACACAGATCTCCTTTTGCCCAAAAATGGAAACCATGGTCACAGTGTGACAGTGGACTCAGTCTGTTGAGAAAATTGTTAACCATCATTTCCTCAGTTTAAATATCTGGAAGAAAAATACCACAGCTGTTTAAGGGGGGACCAAAAGCATCAGACCACTTTTTGGATGAGCCGACCTCCATACACAGGTTTGTTTGTTTATCTGTTTGGTTCTCCCCACTAGCCCAATGTAATTAGTCGATCTAAATAACAAAATTTCATTTTGCCTCATTTTGCCCAGCCTGGTTTTCATTAGAATACCTATTTGTTTTGAATGAGAGGCCCTTGGACCTTCCCCTTTCCTACAGAAGAGTGTCCACATCCAATATAGGAAGAAGGACTTTCCAGTTACCCCCAGGGTGAAGCGAAAGCTGGGACCAGAAAGCTGGTACATCACACCAGTCAGTGCTTGTCTGTCCACCAGATTGTACCGGGTTCTGCTAAGCTGAGCCAGAGAGCATCTGGAAGGGCAGCATGGAACTCCTCGCTGTCACCACTTGTCCTTTCCTCCCCCGCTTTAGTGCCTCCAAGAAAGGGGGAGGCCAGTATGAAACTGGGGAATCAGATCTGCTCTGTGCTTACATTGCGTTCCTGCCTAGGCAGGGCTCCTCTGGGGATGGATGGGGCTGCACCTTCCTGGAACTTTCCCAAGCTTCCGATGGGCATTTGCAGAAGGAGGTGAAGGAGGGATGAGGAGGTGCTGCCTGTTGCACATCTGTGATGGCTAAGGCTCTGTGTCCTTCCTGCTGGGAGGTGGTGTGCTATGAGAGACAAAGCATGGGCTTTGAAGTCAGGTCCTTTTTTAGTCACTGTAGTAATCAGCTCAGGCTAAGTTGTGGCGAAGCAACAAACAAATCTGGATTTGCAATAGCAAAGGTCTATTTCTCTCAGTCTTCATATCATTTGTAGGTCAGCTGCAGTTCTGTTGCATTTCTTGAGTTCTTTATCTCAAGACCTAGGCTGACGAAGCAGCCTCTCTCTGGGAAACTGACCTTGTGGAAGAAGGAGGAGATACAATGAAATCATATGGTGGCTTTTTAAGTTCCTGCTCTCATCCCCTCCATTCATATTGTACTGACCAAACTAGTCATACCGCCAAGTCTAACACTGGCAGAGCAGGGGTATTTAACCCATCCCCAGCAAAGGGTAGCGAATATATTGAACAAGAATACTCCCACCTTGCCCCAGCCACCTACTAACTGTGCACCCTTTGCAGATTATTGTGAGGTGAGAACAATGATGTGAACTTGATGCCAGGATGGTTAAATAAAACACGGATTTTAAAAATGAGTATAATATAGTAGGAAATAGACAAGCTAGTTCCCTCTCACATTTCATATACAAGACTTATTGAAGAAATTCTCATCCTTTCAGAATTAGCTTTTCTGATACCCTTCTATGCAGGTGTGCCAATGGTAATGACTTCTCTTGGGACACACTGCATTTTAATAGTGGCCTTACATGTTATTTTAACCTAAAGTCTTAACTCTAACAGTGGGAATTTCAGACACCAGAAGGTGTTGATATGCTTGACCACTTGCTTCCCTGCAGCTCTGACCCTCTAAACTGTCCAGTTTGGGCCACATACCAGAATGAGAAGGAACTATAATGCATCATGCCATGTAAGAAAATGATAGTTGGGACAGCCTCAGCTCAGTCCCCCAGGACTCTCAGAGGTTAAGATAGTTTTGATGCCACCATGCAGAGAAGCATAGACATTGTAGCAGAAGGAGGAGTTATAGGGTTGCCAGGGCAGCCACTGGACCAGTTGAGGTGATACAGCCACTGGGAGAGGAGGGTGAAGATAGGGACCACT